GTATTTTTACAGAAATTTATTTTTAACGGAAATGTAATTTTACATTACGGTTGACGACTGGCGTCCTGGTTGCCAGTATTTTGACGGTAATTTTACAGGAAAATTTTTAACAGTGTGTGAAATCTAAGTCTTGACTAAATGCATTTTCGTTTAGAGCTATCAATTGTTTGAATGCTTTACCAAACTCAATTGTGGACTCCCTTACATTTAACCAATTCAAAAACCGTCTACAAAAACACTGGTTTAACCATCCGCTTTAACCCGATATGCGCCTAAAGAAATGCCAAGATGAGGGACACATTAGGCTATGAGCTTCACGTCTCTATATCCAGGTAGATTTAGGTAGAACATAAATTCCGGGCGCGAATATTTTATTGTACAATTTGTTATTTTTCACTAAAGTAATGTCCCGCCCTGATTTTTTTCTTTCTTTGTCAGATTCCCCTTCTGTTAGGTTTGAATTTATATATACATTTATATATAGGCCTATGTGTACGTATATGTATATATTATAGTAGTAAAGGCGATGAAAAGGAAAAAATAGTCGGGTTAGAATAGGTATGATTTATGAGAACACGAATATTTCGTCCACTTGTGTGGACTCCATTGGCGTAAGTGATATGCATCAGAAATATTTATCTAGGCCTATTTAAAATTTTCCACAAACTTTTTCTGGGTGAATATTAAAAATGACATCATAAGATTTAAAGATTTAACTATACATTTATATATAGGCCTATGTGTACGTGTATGTATATATTATACGGTAGTGGTATAAAAGGCGATGAAAATGAAAAGATAGTCGAGTTGGAATAGGTATGATTTATGAGAACACGAATATTTCGTCACGTGTGGACTCCATCGGCGTAAGTGACAGGGGCGGATTTATGGGGGGGCGGCCCGCCCCCCCCCTTTTTTTGGACGTAAAAAAAGAAAAAAATAGGAAAAAAGGAAAAAAATGATAGCCCACAACGCCTCAAATGTTATTTTCCGGCGCCTAGAACACAAAAATTTCGCCCCTGGGACATTGTTGTCTCGATCGGCCCAAATTTCGGCCCCCATTTCGCCCCCCCCCCCCCTTTTGCACATCTCTGGATCCGCCCCTGAGCGATATGCATTGGAAATATTATCTCTTTAAAATTTTCCACAAACTTGTTCTGGGTGTATATTAAGAATGACATCATAAGATTTAAAATAAGTACATTCAGCAAGAAAACCAGTCGTGAAGCTCTAAGCAGGGCTGCTGAAAATATGACAAGGCTGATGTCCTGCCATTTAAGAAGAATGTGCAAATATGTAATTTCTTGCAGCTTGTCAATCACATGTAGGAATGCTACAAACATCGATTTTGAAACAGAATTCACAAGTTGTGTTTTTTTACACACATCGATGTACTTGTTTCAGTTGAATACTTCTTCAAGAGCAATCTTATTTGTGTTGTAACCTTTATCGTGCAGGGAAACAATTAGGTGATTATATTCTCATCGACTTGTGTTTACAGTAAATTGCGAGCGCATTACTCAATGAAACTGAGTGTGTTGATTGCTACTTATTCTTGACAATTTTTAAGTTTACTTTGTCAAACAACCTTTACCTATTTCTTCAAACTGTTGTACATGCAGTAAGCCCAACAGAAACTGGAAATTTCCAGACTAAACTGACAGTCTAACCCGCATTAGATTCGTTAAATCATAAATATAATGTTTGTCGGTCATATTTCAATTATACTACTGTACTCAAAATGTCAAACCAAGTTTAACTAGTCAAAAACATCTTTAAGTAGGCCTATGGTGTGCTAATCGTAATGAAAAAAAAATTGCTAATCATAATATGGAAAGATTTTATAGGGCTATGATTCTAGAAGTTCGCAAAGTGATAATAATACCTTTTGGATGAAATCATCCCAGCTAGCAAAGCGACGTTGGCCCAACGTTGGTAAACGTTGGCAAGCGTCGGTAAGCGTCGGGGTCGGATATCTGACGTTGGTACAACGTTGGTGTTTGGTTGCAAAATTAGGTCTGAGAGGTTACGTCAAACCAGCATTGGAATTTCACGTTGGCCCAACGTATGAATATATTTGTCGATTTTCCGATGTCGTCCCAACTTTGGTAAGCCGTCGTAAATATTCAGTCTGACTACGGACGTTGGTACAACGTCACGATTTGTTACTAAGATGGTTGGGTACTACCGTTGGCCCAACGTTGGCTAGAGGTTGTAAATATTAGATGTGATTGTAGACGTTGCCTCAACGTCACAGTACGTTGTTGGCCTGACGTCGGTAAACGTTTGAAATAGTGGTTGGTTAAAACCGTTGGCCTGACTTATAGGTTGTAAATATTAGGATGTGATAACAGACGTTGTCGCAACGTCAGAGTACTTTGTTGGCCCGACGTCGGTAAACGTTAGTGAAGATTGGTTACAACCGTTGGGCTGACGTTGGTTAGAGGTTGTAAATATTAGATGTAGCCTAATTAAAGACGTTGTCGTAGCGTCATAGTACTTTGTTTGCCCGATGTCGGTAAACGTTTGAAATAGACGTTGATTACCACCGTTGGGCCGACGTTGGCCAGAGGTTGTAAATATTAAATATGATTACAGACCTTGTCTCAACGTCTGCAGAACGCTGTTGGCCCGACGTCGGTAAACGTTTGGAATGGAGGTTGGTTACAACCGTTGGTCCGACGTTGGTTAGAGGTTGTAAATATTAGGATGTGATTATAGACGTTGTCCCAACGTCACAGTACTTTGTTGCCCCGACGTCGGTAAACGTTAGTGGAGGTTGGTGACAACAGTTGGGCCGACGTTGGTTAGAAGTTGTAAATTTCAAAAAAAAAAATTGGTTCGTGTGGGAATTGAACATACAACCACCAGGTTTCCCGTAACATGATTAGTCTATTCGTTTTCTAATTTGCATAATTTATTTCTCAAACATGTTTGTCTATTTAAAAAAAGTGCGTAAGTTATGGCGATAGTAACAATCAAAAATCGATTATAAATTTAATTCTACATTTTTGGACAGAAAAATAAACCCTCTTGGCCTACGGCCCATTTTTGACACCATGACCATGCGTAATATTAACCTGCAGTGTATATATACGAAGAATTTTTTCTAGTAGGATCAGAGTTGACTAACTGGTACTTGGTGTGGTACTAGGTTTATCGCATTTATGGCTTAGGGGCCGCGGTTTACCTCCCTCCGTTTAGTCATGCTGGATCAGGAGTAGTAAACTCGGCGATCGTGGGTTCGATTCCCACACGGGGCAAGTTTTTTTTAATTTTTTATTTATTTTTTATTTTTATTTTTTTTAGGCACTGCCATGGTGGATTGAATAGCAAACATGGAGGTAGTGTGTTCGATTCCCACACGAACCAATTTTGTTTTTTTTAAGGCAGTTTAGTTGATGGTGGATAATGAATGTGTTGTACTCGTTGATGACGTCGCTAAATAACAACAAACAACAACGTGTCATGTCCGAGCCATAATTATCTGAAATATTTTAGGCCGATGGCAACATCATCCTGATGCAGGGACAAGGTATTGGTTGTGTCACTGTCAGTGATCATATTGTCTGGTGGACATCGGGTCCCAGTGACCCATACGTAGACCATGGTTCCACTGCTCATTTCATTAGGGTGAAATATAAAAAATAATGCTGGAACTTCCAGATAATGGGCAAAACTTGATAAAAATGGTAAATGGTAAAAAAAAAAAGAAAAAAAAAACCCAATTCGTCGGTGAGAAAAAAATGAAAAGTAGACTATATATTTTCTACATATTTAAACCATAGTAGACTCTGTCTCTCAAAAATTGATTAAGTAGAGCCTAAGCCCTGAAACGGCCCCTCAACCAAGAAATTTTGAACGACGCCCAACCACGCCTACTTCGGGCCACCCCAGCATATTTTCCCCCTAAAATTTTCAGACGCTGCCGACGCCACTGCATCTACCTCTGTATTTTTGCTTTTCTTAAGACAAACTTGGTCAGTCAGTATCTCGCCATGACAACATAACATTTTTACTATGGCGACTTGTCAAGATAATTATCTCACCATGACAACATGATATGTATATTATGTCGACTTGACAAATGCATAATTATCCTGACAAGTCGTCAAGTCGAATGGCACTTTGGTGCTTCCGTACTTATCAACCACAAAGCGACTGGAAAATGTAGTATAATCGTACATTGACTTTGCTGGTGGTTTGGAGTCGAACAGCAATGATTTTAATTTGATTTAAATAATAATAAAATACAATGGCTTTTATGATTAGGCAAACCGGTAAATCATTATATCAACATTTGTTTCGTTGCACTCAGGTACAGTATAAATATTATTAGTAGCCAACACAACAATTTCCATTTTCGTCGACCATCATGCTTGAATCCATTCACCGCCAGGCATTTTAAGTTAGCTCTGGTTAGTCTATGGAATGCCGTCCGTTTCGGTTAGCACTAGACTAGGCCTAGGCCCAGGCCTTTTTAAGGGCATAGGCCTATCCTAGGCCTAGCCTGGTGTGCAGGCAGGCCCACCACCTATAGTAGTAAGTAGGTGTGTTGCAATTTAAACACTTGGTTGCCTTGTTAAGAAAAGTGCATGTAGCTTGCTTTATTTTTTATACGTCTGTTGTAGCAAGTTTCAACATAATATTGATCTTGGCATTTGGTGGTGGTAGGTATAGGCTAGGGTAGGGGCCAGGCCTGCACTGCCTACTATTTAATTAATTCTATTTTAGCTTCGGCTACAGTTCAAGCTTGCTAGTCAAAACGCCAATAGCCTAAATCTAAACGGCAGTATGTCAAAACGGCAATAAACCAAAACAGTGCTAGACCTAGCTCGTATTTACCTCGATTTGATGATGGTTTTATTTTAACTGTGTTACAAATAAAAATATAAACATTAAAAGGTACGACTCAAATAGGATTAACAGACCATTCTGAATTATGATCCGCTTCTGGATCATCATCTTTTTTTTTTTTATTCTTTCTTTCTCCCCATTTCTTGTTCGCACGTTATCTCATAATTGCTACAAGCTACGCACACAACCACTTCATCGAACATTTTGGCTTAGCCTGGAATAGTCACGGTAAGGTTTTTAACGTGACCAGTCATGCATGACGTCTTCTATCTACACGCAATTTTGCGTTTTTACATTATCGATCATATCCTAACGAATTGTCTTCACAATCATATTAAGCGAGCGTTAACTTCAGGTTAATCGAATGTATGTACCCTAATTTTATGTGTGCGCTTTATAATGCGCGTGTATGTGTGCGTAAAAAATTTAGAGTTCTTGAAATCACTTTTTTACTAGAGAACGTTTAAGGCCATTGTGAGCATTTCAACATTTTTCAAATTTTCGGTGCAGCGCGCGCATTTTTACACGCGTAGCATGTACGGAAGCTGGAAATTTAGTTTTTCTTACATGTTTTGGGTTACTGACACTGTATTCACATATTTTTATTCTTTTTTGGTCATCTTAGGGCCAATATCAATGTTGTACGCGCGCATAGAACATACAAATCCTTGTGTGCATTTTTGTCGACATACAGTGAAAATATGTTAAAATCAGGCCTGTTTTTAATCAGTTATACTGTAGCTCCATAGGATGGTCAGTGACCCCAATTTTTATTACATATTCTGAAAGCACATAAGTTGTAAATATGATTTTATAGATCATAATGGCTGATCGGACATTGTGACATCATCATATTGCCATCTGAATTTAATAAAACTGAATTTTAGCTATGACGTCATTTTTGAAAATACGCATCGATCATCTCTCAACATTGAGTATGTTATAGCTGAGACAATTCTCTTTCATATACGTGACTTCTTTTTACATTTTGATGACGTCATCATGGTCAAAATAGATGTTTTTTCTGACCCCTCTTATCTTTATTTCCTCAAAATCATATTAACCATTCGTCATTTCTGAAACATATTAAGTGGGCATAAACTTAAGATAAGGGTTGAATGTCATGTACCTTAATTTTCCGTTTGCGTGTCTTAACATGCGTCAACAATTATATGCTTAAACTTATTTTTAATCAGTTATAGCTCCTTGATATTAAGGGTGACCCCCAATTTTTATTACATATTCTGAAAGCACATGAGTTGTAGATATGATTTTATAGATCATTATGGCTGATCGGACATTGTGATGTCATCATATTGCCATCTGAATTTTTAAAAACTGAATTTTTATTTATGACGTCATTATTTTTCTACTCATTTGAACATATCTCGCTTATTCTTGGTTGTCTTCCACCTCTGAGTAGTTATAGCTGAGACAATTCTCTTTCGGAATTGTCCCTTTATTTTTCATTTTGATGACGTCATCATGATAAAAAATAATGAATTTTTGGAGCCTTCTCATCTCTCTTTCTTAGAAGCTGTAAAAAAAATCCAAAACAGAGGGCGGCAGAGCTGTATTTTGACGCTATCAGACTGATATACTTCATACGAAGGGAAAATTCGTTTGGCATTACCAACCAACAGGAGGTTTTAAATTACACTTGACAAGGTTTAATTTCGTGTGCCATTACTGTCCTTGGGCACTTCGTAAGGTGCTCGTATTGTCAATATCACTTTTCAGATAATTTAAAGCACGTTTCAGGTTATTTTCAGTATTCCAAAACTCTCTATAATTTATGCGCCGTACGCTCATTTCCACGCGCACAGCACGTACTGAAGCTGGAAATTATGTTTTGTTACATATTTTTGGTTTGTGACAAGGTATTCATATCATTACCGTGTGCATGTTCGTCAAGATGTACGCTTACACATGCATAAATCTTTTAAAATGCTCAAAATTACTCTTTTTTTAAAACTAAGGCCTAGTTCAGACTAGGTGGATAAACCTTGTTCAACTCACTAGGTTTATCCACCTGCCAGTCTGAACTAGGTGGCTTATCTCACGCCGGGCTGTGTTCCTATAGTAAAAAGGCCTGGCGTGCCACAGTGTTTTTATAAGTCAGGCTTTAATCGCAGTGGGGGAGGGGGGCTTTTATTGACTTCTGGTAAAAAAAATGACCAATCCAATTATGTGTGCTGTGAGCAAGCGTTCTTTTCGAGGGGATTGTTTCGAAACACGTTTCCTGGTTACAGTTCATTAATATGCAATTCTCGCTGCTGGCTAATCCCAGTAGTCTGAACGCCCGACAAAATTTATCCAGGCTTAACGGTGAGCCTGGCGTAACTCAAGCCCGGCTTATCTCTGTCAGAACATAGCCTAATTAGAGCATATTTTAGCATATAAAAATCTTTTCAATCCGCACCGCGTGCGCTTACTGAGGCTCAAAGTGCCGCGGATCACTAAACTCGTCCTCAGTGACGAGTTCAAATCTATTTATTTTGGTATATCATCAGTTTAGTTTATTTCACATTATCAAAATATTGTACAAAATAGATAAAATTTGCACATGGCAGTAAAAAACAAGTATCAATAGAAGATGATTCAAGGATGGCCTATGAACGTTTTCTTTAAGAAGTAATTATTTCCAATGTGGTCCTACATAAACCTAATATATGAAAATGTACAAAGATTAAATACAGTAGAAATATATAAAAAAAACCATTAAAATACAAAAAAACGAGGCTAAAACCATTTAAGTCATAGAAAATACGAAAAAAAAAAAACATTACTAATAATTATAATAATAGGCCTGATAACAATATAACAAAATACAAATTCAATATTAAATGATTGGGGAAACACAATATAAAAGCAGTAAACATTCAAATAAATAAAACTTTAAAATACAGACAAAATGAGGCATCTAAACAATTTGTCATGGATGTGTAAAAAATATATTTTAAAAAATGCGATTAAACTAAAAACAGGAAAAAAGGTTCATTGCAATATTTGATTTTCCTACAGATGATCAGGCCAATTTCAAGACGATTCAGAAAATCATAGACTGTGGCACTTGCTCTTGGCATTGATTTTGCTCCTTCGCCATTTTGGTCTATATGCCTGATTGCCCTTTTGGTATTTCAGGGGCAGATCCAGTGGGGGCCATGGGCCCTCCCCCCCCCCCAAATAAAAATGAAAAAGAGAGAGAGGGAGAGAAGGGGGTGGGGGGGAAAGGGGAAGAAAGAAGGGGGTGGGGGAGAGAGGGGAAGAAAGAAAAAAGAGAAAAGGTCATATCTAGGCCTATTTATTACTACAGTACTTCAGTCGGTGTTGGTTTTTGTTGATTACGCTGGCGCGCATCAACAAGGCTCGTGGTGAACATGTGGTCCCCAAATGATAGAATAAAATTACAATCTTTTGGTATAGTTACCGTACATCGGTATTTGCAAATTATATTTATGAGCATATAATCAATTAATGCAACATAATATCCAACATAATAATATATTGCACCTACAAAAGTCATTAGAGTCATTCGGCAAAAAATGTGTTTACGAAATATCGAATATATTTTTCACGACTCCATAACAATAGCAACACAATCTAATTCTTTAGATTAGAATGCTGTGTACGACTGTCTTAGTGTTACTTTTTCAAAAAAATTTGTAATATAAAGAGGGGACACCCCCCTCCAAAATTCGCAAATACCGTACATCGGTATTTGCGAATTTTACTTATGAGCATATAATCAGTTAATGCAACATAATATCCAACATAATAATATATCGCACCTACAAAAGCCATTAGAGTCATTCGGCAAAAAATGTGTTTACGAAATATCGAATATATTTTTCACGACTCCATAACAATAGCAACACAATCTAATTCTTTAGATTAGAATGCTGTGTACGACTGTCTTAGTGTTACTTTTTTCAAAAAAATTTGTAATATAAAGAGGGGACAACCCCCTCCCAAACCCACCACCCAAGTGAGGGCCACCTAAATTTCATCTTTGGTCAGTTACCGTTTTGGTACTTATCATGGCCGTTGTGGTTTACTGCCGTTTTGGTCATTACCGTTTTCATTTATTGCCGTTTGACCTGCTACCCTGTTCGTAACCACTTATGGGATCTAAAAATTTAGGGTGGTCTCAGGATTCGGTCTCCACTTAAAGAGTTAGGTGTATGTTAAAAGATTGACAATTGTTATTTTGGTTCCTTAAAAAAGTGGTTTTGAATTAGGCTGGCATTGACTGGCTTGTGTCTAATAAAATTACCATGCATCTTTAAAGTAAGTCCCTCTCTTTGTTTAAGACTGGTGTAACAATAGCCACTAGGTCCTTACCATTATTCAGACATTACCAGTTTTAAAAGAAATTTTAATATACAGGGTACCTGAAATTGACAGTGACAAATGCAGCCTCTGTGCATTGTATTGTGTGGGTTTTTGGTAGGAAAAGAAGACTTAAACACTGTGGGTGTAATTTTTTTAACTTTTTTTTGCAAAAATAGGGGGCGTATGCCCCTTACGTCCCCCCTAAATCCGCCACTGATTAAATATTAATATACAAGGGTGACAACATTTTATAACATAACTAAAGGGTTACAATTTACTATTACAATGGTTACAAGTTTGCCAATAATTTTGCCAGTAAACTTGTTTATATGTTGTAAAGGCAATTATGAATTGACCTGAAAGTGTGTACTAGTTATTGGGTACATGAGTTGACAAGTACCTCCACAAAACTAGAGTTTGCATGCATTCCAACCCTCCCGATTCTATCAGGAGTCTCCTGAATTTTATCAAATTCTCCCCAATTTTCAGGAAAGAACCCCAAATATGGACATTTATCATAGTCAAAATTTCATTTATTTTTGTACTGGACTTGATTAATAAGGATTGAAAGAAAATTTTATAAGTGTCCCTTGTATTTTTGATTTTTTTTTATCTGTATCTGTATATCTGTAAAGACCTGCCGTATGATTAAGTCCAGGTATGTAGTACAAAATGCTAGATAAATTTTATAAGGAGATGTATAATAATTTGCACTCGTGGAGGATTACAGTGCCTTCTACCGATTTTAATTTTCTCTGGTGCAACACAACCTCTGTACAGTACTGTACTGTTACGTAATTCTTTCTGTTTGATTTTTAGTGTACGCGTATTGGTTTTAGTGGACAGAGACGGCATTATTCAAGCGCATATAATGCTGAATTGTATACAACAACAAAGATAGACAAAAATGAGCCGGTAAGGAATCTATTTTGCATATAAATTGTTACAATTGTTTCAGATTATTGACTTGGATATACTGTATATTAAATTTTCATAGCGTTACGACACAGCTTTGTCATTAAAATGGAGATTTGTCATCTCTCATTTCTTTCATTATTCAATTTATTGCATCTCATTAAAACATTACAAAACAAAAACACAAGAAATGCAAAAAGACAGGAAAATGAACAAATAAATAAATTTTTAAAAAACCCAATAAAATATATGATTGAAAAATTGAAAAAAATGAATAAAAAAAACTGAATGAGAAAAAGAAAAAACATCAAGCCATGTGACAACACATGCGTCTGACAATGACAGAAAAGCATAGAACTCAATCATAGAGTTTCGCTGTGCACACCTCCTAGCAAACACCAAAACGTGTGCGTAATCCTGATTCAGCATACTTAGATGTAAATAATTCAAGCTATATTACTTGCATTCTGCCCGGTACATCACCAATTTTTACTCCTTGTTGGAAAACTTTATCTGTTATTTTTGTTTTTACTTAATTATTTTGTTTGTACCATATGATAATTGAATAAACACCTTTCCCAAATATAAATTTAATTGATGTATTCTATTTTGAATAAATGTCATGGTATTTGTTGGGCATGCATAGTACCCAACATTTCTTAATGTTTTGCTGGAACTTACGTGATCACAGTATATGCTCACTGGCCAGGCTTTTCAGGACAATGAATCATATATATTTTTAGTTACAATGAGGAGTCCTAGAAGTACGCTGTTGATTGATTAATTAATTTATCTTTTTTTATGGGCAGCCCTTAAGGCCAATATATTCTATTGCCTCTATTAATTAATATATCTTTTTTTTAGTGAAATGCGCCACCAATACTAGTGTCTATAAGAGGTCCGACTGTCGGGGTTTCACTGGAATGCAATCCTATCTCAAAAAATACTGCCATGAAGGGGCGTGTCCTTCAAAAGAACGTAAAAGGCGTTTGTATCGAACGTGTGCTGCGAGTCTATAGAACGTATGTTTGGGTTTCGAAACGCAGCACGCTTTCGATACGAAAGCCTTTTACATTCTTTGAAGGACATTTTACTTTTTAACATTCCATTACGTGCATACAAAATAAGGCCGGTCGGACCTCTTGCAGTTCTATATTCTTTGCTGCCATTACCACTAGTAGGACATGTCGTATAGATGGCGCCGTCGGTTGATGATGTATTCTACTGGACCAAAGGTTGTGAATTCGCATCGCTTCTCTTTGTTTTATTTTTTTGTTTGTTTGTTTGATTGTTTGATTGATTAGGCGGCCGTTAGGGTCAATATACTCTACTGCATCTATTATACTGGCCTCATCAAACCTTTCAAGATTATGAGAACTTGTTATAATATTGTTTTTGTTGCAGACTTTTGACAAGATTCTGATTGCTAACCGAGGTGAAATCGCCTGTCGTGTCATAAGTACGTGCAAAGCCATGGGAATTAAAACGGTTGCTATACACAGCGATGTGGATTCAGACTCGGTAAATACTTAGATGCACTTTGTGTTTTGGTTAAAAAAAAATGTAATTGTTTGAATTTTGAACTTAAACATTTGTGATGGAATTATTATGAAAAATAATAAATGAAAGGACCAGAACTTTTTCTCACAACTAAGACCCCTCCCCCTTGATATTCCTGCTATGGTCCCATAAAAAGACAATGCAAATGTATGTTAATTTGTTTTATGAGACTTTCATTTATTACTTTTCTGATTGGTTAGTTGCAGAATTTGATTGGCACTTTGGAAATGTCCATGGTGACATATAAGCTACGTTCACATCAAGACCGGAATTCCGGTTCGGAGTCCGGAGAAAAAATCGTGAAAAATGGGTTCGGTGGTAAATAATAGGACCGTTCACATCAAATTCGTACGATTTCCAATCTGGACACCGGATCCGGACCGATGGATATGAGAGCCATTTTTATCCTGAAATCGTATGTTTTTTTTCCTTGGACCAATCAGCAACAAGCTTGGATAGTTCGAACCAATCGAACGTACGCATACTTAATCCGAACAACTGTATTCCGTGCGCGATATGAACGCAGCGTACAAAAAAACGTAGTAACTCACTATTTTTTGTCCGGACTCTGGACCGGATCCGGGCTTGATGTGAACGTAGCTTTAAACTGGTAGAAAATCAATTACTAAAACCAAACAATATTACAACATGTTTGATTTTCTATTTATTATTTACTGTTTTATCTTTACATGTTGGATTATTTTTTTCTCTTCAGCTTCATGTTCGTTTAGCAGATGAGGCGGTGTGTGTTGGACCAGCGCCCTCTGCTCAAAGCTACCTTGACATGGACGCCATCATGAAAGCCATTCAGGAAACAGGAGCTCAAGCGGTATGAATAATTTTATTTCTTTCAGCATTGAAAATTGGAATATACATTAAATATTAAAATTATTTCACAGAAAAAGGCTGTCTCTTATACACATCTAGATGTGTATAAGAGACAGGCTATACACAGCGATGTGGATTCAGACTCGGTAAATACTTAGATGCACTTTGTGTTTTGGTTAAAAAAAATGTAATTGTTTGAATTTTGAACTTAAACATTTGTGATGGAATTATTATGAAAAATAATAAATGAAAGGACCAGAACTTTTTCTCACAACTAAGACCCCTCCACCTTGATATTCCTGCTATGGTCCCATAAAAAGACAATTCAAATGTATGTTAATATGTTTTATGAGACTTTCATTTATTACTTTTCTGATTGGTCAGTTGCAGAATTTGATTGGCACTTTGGAAATGTCCATGGTGACATATAAACTGGTAGAAAATCAATTACTAAAACCAAACAATATTACAACATGTTTGATTTTCTATTTATTATTTACTGTTTTATCTTTACATGTTGGATTATTTTTTTCTCTTCAGCTTCATGTTCGTTTAGCAGATGAGGCGGTGTGTGTTGGACCAGCGCCCTCTGCTCAAAGCTACCTTGACATGGACGCCATCATGAAAGCCATTCAGGAAACAGGAGCTCAAGCGGTATGAATAATTTTATTTCTTTCAGCATTGAAAATTGGAATATACATTAAATATTAAAATTATTTCACAGAACACAAAATAGAGGAAGGCTTAAGGGGGTGCAAAAGTATGAAAACTACTGGTCGCCAGAAACTCCAACTTTCAAAATATTTAACATCAATTAAGTATACAAATAGCTATAAAGAATAGAAGTTCAAAATTAATATTACATAAACATCAAATGCTCTAAAAATTTCTGAAAATAAATATATCTGTTACAATATATTGGCCTAAATAATGAGGTATATAAATATAAAATTATTTTTAAAACAAATAATGATAGTAATAATGGTGGTATGGTAATAATAATAATAGTGATAATGGTGATATTGATTAGTTTGGATCAGTAGATTTTATTCTGTATTTAGAATACAGGTTACTCGCACAAATTTTATCTAAAGGGCGTGTTTCTGCTAAAAAACATGTTCTTTATAAACGGTTAAATTCCTTCTGAACACGTTTCTAGTGAAAAGTGCAACTAATAAAAACACAGTAATGCGAGCATTGGCAGGTGGGCGGAGCTTAAATGAGGGTCACCAACGGAAGTTGAAGCTGACCTTACTTCTTATGATCTACAGTGCATGCTGCGAAAGAAATAAACAACACACCACGAAAGTATGAAAATGAAGTATGGTATGATCTTCAAGCATGTCATCCTATTGGTTTAATTTTTTTTCTACGTTTCAAATTTCCTGCGGACATGCGATCAAACCAACAAAGAGGTCAATTTGGGTCACTGACAGTTCATGAATAACACGGTATTGCGTTGCAGCTGAAAAGTGTACCACAAAACATGCGTTTTCTGAACGCAAACCCTAGAATGAATACGTGTAAAAACACACATTTTTAGAACGCATTCCTAACGGTGTTTTTGTTTTGTAGCTCATTTCTATTGGGGAAAAAACATGTTTTTTAATATCCGTTTAAAAACGCATTTTTTTTTGCTCAGCAGAAACAGGCCCTAACTCATACACATAATTTTGGCTGTCTCCCATAGTTGGCTAGCCCGTACCCAAGTTTATCTAAATTTTGGTAAGGGTTCGCCAAAGTGGGTACGAGTTGGAATGGGTACGAGTTACAGTAGGCGACACCCTATATTTTTATACTCAAGTTATTTACACCATATTATGATATCTGTTTAAGTTTACTTGTAATGAGTATTATACATCATTTCGAAGGGGCTCATAACTACCAATCCTTTCAATTTTCCTTATAAATCACAATTTTCCCCCCCCCACAAAAAAAAAAAAAACAATACATGAGACAGAGATAGAGAGTTGTATATTTTAAAAATTTAATCTTCTGCATAAATAAATCAATCTAACAGTAGACATATCTCAATTGATTGATTAATTCATTGAAGGGAAATTTTTTTTTGTCTTTTTTTATAGGTACATCCAGGTTATGGATTTCTTTCTGAAAATAATGAATTTTCAAGGAGATTGGTATGTTTGATTTTATTTGATATAAACAAAAATGTCTCTGATATTATTTTCAATTTCCACTAGTGTGTGGAACTATAATCTGTAAAATAAGGCCTGTTCAAATTGGACTTTTTACAGGGTTCGTACGCGTCCTTAAATTCCTGGAATGTCTTGAAAAAACGTATGAGCATTTTCCAGCACTGGAAAGTCCTGGAAATTTATTATTGTCCTTGAATAATTCTTCAGTGTCCTGGAAATTTGATTATTTACCCATTTATTGTATTTCGCATGATATATACGTAGATTCCAGGTCATGATTAAAATAAACTAAAAAATGTTCGTTTGTTTTTGTCTTTTCAATACTCATACACAATTTAAGTACAGACCGTTGCCCGCATACTGTAGCTGTTTCTCAAAAGTAGGGCGGCATGTCTATAGTTTTACTTTACTCACGCCCTGCTCTCGCTCTTTGACGTTACACAAAGGAGACGCGCGGTGGGTACATGTAAGGGCACTAATAATTTTCGGTACTGTGAAATACATGCTAAATTTGGGCATGTATACACTGTCAACTGATTATGTACTGTACAGCATATTTTTTTATAGCGCAGACAGGGTTATGGCAGCCGAGGCGTTAAAACACGAAAGAGGCAATCTAAGCTAGATGAGTTAGATAATTTAAAGAAGAGTAAGAAAAGATGTATTGCGCTGATATTGAAGGTCTGAAAAAGTCATCCATAAGGTTTGCTGATCAGGCCGAGAGTAAAGGTAGTCATTAAAGTAAAGTAATATGCTGTCATTTTTGTGTTGCTATTCTGTGTTAATTTAGTGCTTGCAAATGTTGATAATTCAATGTACAGTATATATTTGTTCTACGTATAAACAAATGCAATCATCGCAAACACATCGTACGTTAACATTTGCTGTATAATAGATTATAAAAGTTTACATAGGTTTATAATATTAATTATAGATAATAACCATGAATACAGAGATGAAATAAACGACTTCGCAATGTACAATTAAACAAGTTTCAACATTTTAATGACCAATATGTATGAAATGTATGAAATAACAATTAAGATCTCCGCAACGTGCACCCAAAACGAAGGAGATTAGGACACCGTGGGCCTATATTTATATTGCTTGAATAGCCCTGGACAGGCGTACACTCCACCGAGGCGTCACAATTGAATCAAGTTATTACTGACAATCTGGTACCACAAAGCCACCGACAGGTTTAGCGATAAGACCATGTTGTACGCGCACATTTTTGTTGCCTAGCAGAGAATCAGGTCTGCTGTAGTTCAACTGTGGGCTCTGCCTTACTTGCCACACTCGTGGGATGAATTCCTTGGCTTATTAGCACACGTGTGAGACAAACAGAATTTCCCACGAGTGTGAGAAAAAGATATCGATCTATCGCCTCTGAGTTAGATTTAAGTAAAACTTAATATGCAATCAACCAACAGTCTTTACTGTGATGGAAACAACTAAATTGATTTACTAAATAAAAATATGCATAAGAACATCTTGCAATTAAAATTAGTACAGCATGCATGTTGTATAACCAATCGTAAAATTGGCAAATTGTTCTACTTTTATAGTAATAAGAGATATTATGAGTCCTTAAAATTCGGAAAGTTTGACCTGGAATGTCCTGGAATTGTCACGGAAATTTGCTTGTTTAAAAACGTTCAAACCCTGTTTTTATGTTCAAATTGATCATGTGCCATACTGTATGGTGGAGCAAAGACTCCATTGAGAGCACACTTACGTCCTGTGCCTGAATACCAAACAATACACAGGCTGTGTATGGACAATTATTATTTTTTTAAATTTTATACTTGAGGGTAAGTTGAAGGGAAAAAATTGAATTTGCATGACCTTAAACTTGTCCTTGACCTTTTCTATCCAAAAATTAATAAAATTATTATGTACCATTTCACACAATCTTATAATCCATTCTTTAGTTAATGCTAATTTTGCAGATGACAGATGGACAGACCTGGGGCGGATTAAGGGAGGTGGCCCCTTTCTGGCAGCAATCCACCTATTGGAAAGTTAAAAAAAAAAAAGAAAGAATAAAGTAATAATTGATTGCTCAAAATACCTCAGAGGCTATTTTCGGGAGTCTAGAAAACCAAAATTCGCGGAGGCATGCCCTGGACCCCTTAGAGTAGTGTTGTCTTGGTTGGCCTCACTTTTGGCCCCCTTTCGGCCCACACCCCCCTTTTGGACATCTCTGCAGGATCCGCCCCTGCAGACAGTGGTGAATACGTAACCTCCTTGACAGAGGTATTTATTAATAGCAAAATTAATGTACTGCAGGCACATATCTAAAATTCTAAAAACTACCACTCACTAATAGCCTTATTTATTTAACCAATTGAGGGTTTAACAAATCGAGTTTCTTAACATGCCATTCACCTTATTTACCTTATCTAGGCTGAAGCCGGTGTACAATTCATCGGCCCACCAGAAGGAGCAATAAGCGCAATGGGTGATAAACTTATGAGTAAACAAATTGCCAAACAAGCTGCTGTTAATATTGTACCAGGGTTTGATGGGGTTGTCAAAGATGAGGATGAAGCTATAGGTCATGCTAAGGATATAGGTATGTAGTGCTTTTTCATTTTTGTTTCATTGCCTGCACCTGCACACATAATCAGGACAGTTGGACCTCTTGCAATTTTATGCCCTTTGATACAAGGATACGATAGGACAACATGCCAAGAAGTACACAAATATTACAAATTTATCACCTGTAGATGTTATTGTATACAAAAATATACCTCAACAAGTTATTTATTTGTTTATAAAAAAATTATTACACACACTCTGCATTCTTTGGTTATTACATAGTCAGTGTCATATATTTTGTTTCATCAGGGTACCCAGTAATGATCAAAGCTTCGGCGGGGGGTGGTGGAAAAGGAATGAGGATAGCTTGGAACGATGATGAACTCCGGTATGATACACAAACCTTTTTTTTTTATCTTACTGGTTAATATTTTACTATATTGCATTGCCATTCTGTTTATACAACAATATACAAATGTTAGGACAATTATACTTCCTTGAATGGAATCACCTTGCATTGTAAATTTGCACCGTATCTCTTGATTTCGTAGGGAAGGTTTTCGACTATCAACTCAAGAGGCTGCATCAAGTTTTGGAGATGATCGTTTACTAATTGAGAAATTTATTGACAACCCACGCCACATAGAGATTCAGGTATAGACAGCTTCTTTAGTGGACACTCTTTCACTAGTAAAATGCTTAAGACCATTGTTACTGGCCCTAAAAACAAGCTTTTATTTTAAAACACAAAAATTCCAAATTAGTCTTAGAAAATGAAATTAATGATGGTTCTTTATCTATGATGTCACTGTACTGTTACCCCTTGAATAGTGTAGATGTTGGATAAGGTTAGGGTATAGCCAAACAAACCTTAAACAAGCCCCTTTCGTTGTTTTATGATGGTCATGCAACCACAGTCTTAGTTTTCTGTAAGTGCTTGACAACGCAACGTTGCAGAGTATAGCGGATTTCCATTGAAAATGGTCTGTTGCACATGTCTCCTTAGTTGTGTTCTCCATGAAATCAAGTTTGACGATCACATAGTATGTACCGTGCTTAAAGCTGTATCCTTTCCAGCACCATGCTGTAATACAGAGCTACCGAGCTGAAAACCCTTTAAATTTTGTTGTGTAATGAAGAGGAATATGCATCCTTTAATAAAGTTTTCACAATGGAAAGCATTTTCTTTATATTAATGTTATATTTAATTTTTTTTGTAGGTATTATGTGATGGTCATGGCAATGCAGTTTACCTAAATGAGAGAGAATGTTCAATTCAAAGACGTAACCAAAAGGTCATCGAAGAAGCTCCAAGCACGTTCTTAGATGAGAAAACGAGAAAGGCCATGGGTGAACAGGCAGTGGCGCTTGCCAAAGCAGTCAAATATCAATCTGCAGGTAGATTAAATCATGTGATTTTTTTTAATTTTTTATTATTTATATAGGCTCTTAGTTCAAATATTGTCAATAACGATATTACTCACTTTCTTATATAAATAGCAATTCTTTATCATCTTATGTATTGCACATATTCATCTTGTGAAAGAGCTGCTAACAGTGGCACTTTGCATACAAAAAGCATCAATTTGTATGGAATTTATTTCATACATGTCTTAAAATCAGATATAGAGATTCTATATTATATTGGTAAAAGTTTAATTTAGTATTTCATTTATTTTTTTTAGGAACTGTTGAATTTCTTGTTGACTCAAAAAGAAACTTTTATTTCTTGGAAATGAATACAAGGCTACAGGTTTGTGATTTATTTATTTATTTTGTCGTGTTTCAGTAGGTTAGCCCTCTCAGCAATGCTTTCCGATGGGTCCTACGACACATTAAAACATTAAGTGATACTGTGGCTATTCTGTATTAAGTACATAGATTAATTTTTTTTTTTTTTTTTTTTTTTGCTGGCCTAGCCTTGGCCCTAATGTGTAGGCTTCTTAGGCCTAGAGATTTCAAAAACTGCATTGGTGCCAAGCCAAATCTTTTACAAAGGCTATAACAGACACTAAATTTTACATAAAAGATTTGTTTGTACAATATTTATTTATTTATACTGCTGCAGTGCTAGGCTAGGCCTAGGCCAGGTAGGCCTAGCCACACTTACTACTAGCTAGGCCTAGGGGTCTAGGCCTAGTTAGGTAGTTCTTGGCTAGGCCTAAAATATCTGCCAATTGAAGCGTAGTTCGTAACCTATTATTTTTCTTTATAGTACTAATATTATTATCATATTTAAAACATTGTTTATTATCTAAAAAGAACCAAATAAATACATGTACGCCTACGATCAGATTGTCCGCGATTTCTGTCAACATAAGCATGTGTGGGGGAATCTATTTTTTTCTGCAGAAAAAGAAAACACACTTGGTGGCACACTTCACATCGTCTTCCCTGTGCTGAAGATGAAAAAAACGATCGTTTTTCCTCTATTATCGGCATTTTTTAGTCGATTTTCAGCACTTTCTTACCAAAAAAATAAAAGAAAAAAAAGAGAGGCAGCTAGAAAATCAGGGTCGGGCGGTGACGCTAAACATGTTATTTAAAAATATGTTTTTTTTGGCCTAAGAAAGGAATTTAATTATATTGAGGTGCTTGCTTTGAATATGTTGCTATGACAATTGTAATTATAATAATGGTGTTATAACGATGAGGCTACTTTACATTTTATATGCACTCTTGCTTAATTTAGAACATATTAATCCTTTATATCTTAAAATGATTAAAAATCTACTTTTTAATTCGTGTCTACAAAATTCACAAGAATATTGTTTACATTACCATGGTTTTTTGTAGGTAGAGCATCCAATAACAGAGTGTATCACTGGGATTGACCTAGTTCATCAAATGATCCGGGTTGCAAAAGGTCATCCGCTGTCCATCACACAAGATGATATAGGAATAGATGGTTGGGCGGTGGAGTGTCGGGTATATGCAGAAGTAAGAACTCCTTTCAATTTATTGTACTATAATATAATACTGTAACAATGTAATAAATGTAAAAAAAAATGTCTTCTCAAATAATTTTTATATATAAATTTTATAATGGTATATAATGTCAGGCTCTGGAGGAAAACATTTTTTTGATATATGTTGTGCAACAGATTTTTATAAGACACAAAAAGGGTGTTTGACAAAAAGTTGGGGGAAAAGTGAGGAAAGGGTGGTAATGCCTTTTTTTCCTTTTGGAGTCTCTATAACTTTGGGTAAATACAGGTTTTCTTTTACTGTAGTCCTTAATTGAATTTGAGGAATCAGTATTAATACAACTGAGAAAACAGCTTACAATTAGAAATTGTGCTACCTGTATGAATGAAATCTAAACTTAGTGCATGTGTTTTTAAAGTGTAACTCTTGTTTTTTAAATGTTCTCTATAATAATACTGGTTATTCATTCTCTTTATCAGGATCCCTACAAAGCAACCTTTGGTTTGCCATCTATTGGTCGTTTACACAAATACTCAGAGCCTCAACATATACCAAATGTTAGAGTGGACAGCGGCATCACGGAAGGCAGTGAAATTAGCATTTACTATGATCCAATGATTTCCAAGGTACTGTAGGCACAATTAATATTGCTGATAATGATTTTTTATAGAGTTTGCATTAACTAACTTTAATGCCTATATTCCCACATTAAAAAAAAATGTTACAAGCACTTAAGAACTCTAACTAGACTCATGTGGCGTCCTCGTATACTAATTGGCATATATGTAACTGGCTCTGGCAAAACCCTCTGTTTGGTGCAATATAATTTCCCACAAGCATCCAAAACATTCGAGAATCAGAATTTTGAACATTTTCATTTTTTGTAATAAATATAAATAAATATATAAATAATAAATAAATAATAATAAATATATATTTTATATAAATATAAAACCATAACCATAAATTGTAAATTTTTTCTGATATTTTCTTTCTGTAGCTAGTAACTTATGGACCTACACGACAAGCAGCTTTAGATACTATGAAACAGGCCCTCGATTCCTATATTATACGAGGTAAAATAAAAACATTAGTAAGCAATGTTCATACAAATTTTGTATAATTTTTTTTTTTTAAAGATTTATTGCTTTTAATACAGATTGCAAGGTATATTAAAGACTGAACATAAAATTAATCTATTTAGCATTAGTCGGGCTCCAGATCATGAGGAAACTTCACCATTTACCCAATTTTACAATTTTGAACCAGGTTTTGCCGATCTCTTCTTATCTCTATTAATTACTGCTTCAGGGAATTTTGTAACAAGATTAACAGTGAGGCTCATTAGTTGTGAATAGTTCATAAGAAGACTAGCACAATTAAATCAAAAACCATGTTGTAATTTCTAACATAAGTCATTGATTTTTAAAATTCAAAAGCATATCTATTATGATTTTTATCTGAAATTATAGCTAAGGTAATAAAAATGCCAAATTATTTTGAACAACAGGTTTTTAAAATTTTCCAGCCTAGATGTGTATAAGAGACAGGTTTTTAAATATTCAAAAATCTGTATCTCATTAACCGTTCCCTAGTTTTTCATCCAACACCCTCCTTGTGTCAGAGAAAAATCAGTTGTACAACATATTTTTTTTTTCTCTAGAGCCTGACTTTAATATTTGTACAAAAATAATACTAATGCATTTAAAGTTAGAAAAAGATTAAACAGCAGATTGACAATTTGTAAAACCTCAGAAAAAAGAAACATTGAAAGGACAACCCAGGGTAACTCATGGAAATTCTTAAGGGTTCAAATAGTGTTATTTAAATTTGTGTTAATTACCGAGATAAGTTTTTCTAATACTTAGTAGAATGCTAAAAGTTATTGAAATATACAAAGTATACAATTTATTTTTTTTTTATTTTTCAGTTTAATTATATTACACCTTATGTTAAAATTTGTTTTTATCAACTACAGTAAAATTATAATTCATTTTTGCCTTTTTAAAATTGCTTTTAATTATATTTATACCATTATTTTTATCAAATTGTGAAGGAATTATTGTATTTCTGCTTTTTTCCTAATTGTTTGTATCAAGTGTAATTATTTTTATCCAATCTTCTTTAAAGGTGTTACGCACAATATCTCTCTACTTCAAGATGTCCTAATTCATCCACGATTTATAGAGGGTGCTATAACAACTAATTTTCTTCCTGAGGAATATCCCGATGGATTCAAAGGTTGTAACAACATTGTTTTATCTTAAAAAAAAATTAAAAAAAATATATATTTGTAGGGGAAGGGGTATGCAAATATTGACCTACTGGGGTATGGGGGTTTCTAGAATCCATGGCAGATCAAGGGGGAAGAGCTGGTAGAGTAGATGGTATGGTTGGACAGTGCCAGAGGTTTGTTGATTTCTTCTACAAATACACTTTCCTTAGGTTTATATCTGTAACAAAGGATGATAGTTTCCCGCTCCAGAAGATAAGCTGGTATTTTAAAGTGGCAAGTGGTAGATATCATCTGCTGGCTTCTCACACTAAACAATATCCTCTCTCCTTACTTCAACAAGCCATTAAATTTTGTTACCTAAACCATAGACAATAGACTATTAAATAAAATAATAATAATTACGAGCTCAATAAATGAGCTCAGTGACGCCTTTCTCATTACTTGATTGTCCTTATTTGGCGCCCTCTATACTTGTCTCTCTAGGTACTTTCACTTCACCTGTTTGCTTACTAGCACAGTATATAAGACCTTTCCTGCCTAATTCCCCTCTCAGTTGTTAATGTGTATGTGAAATATTTGACACTTCTTGTGGATTTATCTTTAGGTCATCTTAATACGTATTCTCTTTTACAGTGAGAGTGAAAAATCAGGCTTTATTTATTTGACAACAATTGTTATTTTTAGAAATGTATAATGTATGCAAATAGTGGAATGTCCAAGAATGGATAAAAATCTGAATCTGAATATTATACAGTAGGATTACCTATACTAGAAAGTGACAAATTTAATATTGAGAAAATTCTCAATTGTCTTAAAAATTTGGATCTTTTCAGATTTGGGTTGTCGGGGGTGGGGGAAGTGTACGCACTCATTGCACCCCCTGGATATGGGCCTGATAATTACAAATTATGAAAGTGTCCACATTTTTAGGTGATAATAGTATAATGGTTTTGTATTTGTAGAGCCCTACGCATACTATAGGCCTATATGCGCTTATTAGTGGAAACAAGAAAAGAAAAGACATACTATGCATATATACCCAAAAAATGTTTTAAAATTAACAAGGACAAAAAAAGCAAAACAAAGAAAACAAAATGAATATAGCAGAAGCACTAGTTGCTTCATTCTCCTTTAATTTCAACATTATACAAATGAGGTTGAGTGGCACTGGCATCTAGATAATATTTTTCCATAATCCTGTTAACATGTAATGGAAGATTATAACAATTAAATTTCAATTCAATCATTTCATTTAGGACACCAATTAACGAAACAAGAAAGGTTACAACTCGTTTCCATGGCATCAAGTATACTGATGAAGCAGTCTCATAAGAATAGGGCTTTTAAAAATCAAACACGGTATGTTACTCATAATTGCTTTCAAAGTATTTATAAATGTTAATAAATTTTTTTGGGGTGGGGGGCACGGGACCTCTCTGGATTCTCCGTTGTGGAAGAAGCCAATGATTTTGTCAAGAAACACTGAAATTGTTCTTTGCGTGGGTGTGTTACCTTGAGGTAGATGACCTTTGACCACTCAGTAGGGAACTTTGACCTTGTACCACTCTTTGGGGAATTTCTGCTGTCATTTTATTGAATAAATGGGCTCATTTCAATGCTCCGTACTAATTTATATATATCATTTTGGTTTACACTTTTGTAATAGAATTGGTTGTAGAGAATCGGCTCCAACATGCTTAGGTCTCATTGTTACGCTTGACAACCAGAAGATTTCAGTACAAGTACAAGAGATTGAGGATTGTTATAAAGTAAGACATAACATTATGTGAGAAGGGGATATTTTAAAGGGTTAGTTTGAATGTGGTGAGGGACTAGGAAAATGATAGAAGGACTAACTATAAAATCTGTGATTGTCATGTTAGTCCGTGTGAGTGCTAGGGGAATCAGCATGAGGGCAAGTGGAATCAGCGTGAGGGGAAGGGAGAATCAGTGGGCGCGGAGAATTTTTTTTCTAAGGACTAGGGCAGTGGCTGATCAAAGAATTCAAAATAGAGAGCCTAGAAAAATTAATCCTACTGATGGAGGATTTAGACAAATTTTATATATATGTTACTTCTAGATGGCTGGTGATGGCACTCTTAGACTAAAAATTAGAATGCAATTTTCTTCTTCCCCATTTTTTTTCCCAAATTATATTTCAGCTGATTCAGAGAAAATGTTATGAGGGCATGTTGAATAAAATGAGAATGGCTAGAGCAAGTCATATAAGGCCAAGAATAAATGTTTAATGGTAAAATTGGAGGAAGTGACAATACAGTATTAAGGATTAGAGCAAATGTACACGACATAAGGCAAGACTATTTTATACCTTGTTTAGCTAACCCAGTAATGGTATTAATTTAGAATTTAAAAAAAAATTATTTTTGGCCAATTCCTTCAATTAACGCACACCCACGCCATGAAAATTTGAAATTTCAGAAACAAATTCATTAAAATAATGTTCATTATGCCCTCAACAAACCATAAAATCTCCAAAAATAAGATATATACATTTCTTCCTTAATTATTTAAATTTTAAAGCAATTATCACTCATTACTCCCTGTTTCATAGATTCATAAAAAAAAATGTTTTATTTTCTCCTCCATCTAGTTGCTTTGCTTTATAAGTAATAAAACAAAATTTGTTCCCGCCCAGCACCGACTATCTTTAGAAACATAGGTTTGCTAAACAAGGTAAATTAAAAAGGTCTTGTCAAATAAAGAAACTGATATAGGCACATTGTACAACCAGCATATTGGTGTTTGTACGTCAAGATACAGCTAAAAACAAACCGCGAACATAAAACTGAAGGGAAATGCGCACTCCCAATGTTGAGACGGCGTCGCCACCACAACGTGTACGTGCAGGTACCCCGGCGACAGGATATTGGTGTTTGTACGTCAAGATACAGATACAAATTTGTGAACAAATATGAAATATTCTATTATTAATAATATACAGTATATTGTAGGAAGCAATATTATAACATAACAATACAAAGAAAAATAATTTTCATTAATAATGAAACGCACACATAATTCTAGAACCAGAGGTGACGGAACTAGGGGTTGCTGTGTTATGGAGAGTAATGTGTGACCGGAAATGGTCTGCAGTCAGTTGGTTGTTACCATGCGCCAGTGATGTTGGAGTATATAGTACAGCAATATGAAACTATTAGGCCTAATGAATGAATAAGGTTCAGAGTTTGTCGGGTAGTGAAATGATTATTTCACATTTTAAGTGCTCCCTAAATTCATAAGTGTAAAGCTAAATTACGGTGATTAATTCAATTAGCGAAGATATGGAGACAAATTTCGAATCCAAGAGGGGATGCAAATGCTTTGTGAAAATGAGTACGCCGCGGTACTCATTTTCACAAAGAAATACACACAACTGGTTAGCTAACAATTATGTCAATGTTACATGAACACCTGGGAAGGAAGGTGCAATCACGTTGTCACCTAGCAAACGTCTGTACTGTATGGGGGAGGGGCTGCTGATGTAGCCTACTGTGTAGCGGGGGACGATGAGGCATAAGACTAGGCCTAGGCCTATTAACTAAGACAGTGGAATTATATGTGATAGAGAGTACACTTTCGGAAGAAATAAATTAAAATAAGAAAAAAAAAAATAACTAAGAATAATTAATTTGCAGAGGTACCTTGTTTAAGTATTATACAATGCTAACAATGCGGCTCTTGTAGCCCTGGCTTGGGCAAGGCATCCATGTGCAAAGCAGTGGTGTTTGTTTATCCATGAAAAAGCACGGCACCGGGAAAGTTTGCCTTACCAGGAAAAGGTGACGTATCTAGCTTATGACGTATGCATGCTAACTAATGTGAGTGTGACGTCACCAAAAAATGAATATTTTCTATTATAACCAAAATATTAATAAAGTTCTACAAAGTTTATGGGCATAAATTCCCTTAATACGAATGTAGGGTTGCACAATCTCCTTGCCATACAAATTACAGCTCCCACTGACGTCTCAGTCGAGAAATACGGGTAGCTGAAGTTTTTCTTGCAAATCTGACTACAAAACCATATCCAAATTTCACGTTCCACTTTTGACCCTGAGTTGCGCTTCGCATTCGCCGCTGAGGGCGGCGTTCCGGGAACCCTGCGTCAAGCAGTTGAAGCACAAATAAAAATGGATTTAATACCTATTTATTTCTGGTGATACTGGAAAAAGAAACTTCAGAAATTCAATTAAACATTTGAGTTGTACGAAAGTATAATACATACTCCAAGTATTGAAATACACGCCATCGTGTTGGGATTCAATATTTCGACATTAATTATGTCATCATCAGGAATGAAAAAATTATCCATATTAGCAAGCTTATATGCACTAGTACCAAAAGTGT